TATGTACACTACAAACTCAGTATACAGTGATCCTTTCTACACAAACTTGGTATAACTAGTGAATCTTTCTACTCAAGTAAATTGAAGATTGTATACAAATTTACTACAAATGCAGTATACAATGATCTTTTCCACATTTTTTAGCTTCCCCGATTTGTTGATTCTTCTTTTGTGATGGTAAATATACTGCCGCCTTTAGAAAGTACTGTGACATTAAAAGGCAACATGTTTGTTAGCGTCTCCTCAAGTGACTAATCATCTTCAACATCTAATTGGAGGCCGGAAAGAAGGACGTTTTTCTCCACCATAAGGTCCTCAAATCCATTGTTGGTCACCATAGCCAATTCCAACTTAGAAGAATCAATAGAGATACCTTCTACCACTCCAGATTTCATTTCTTCAGGGACATCCACTTGCTGAAAGAGAGTAAGGTAAATAAATAACTATATTTCATTATTGCTATGATTATGTGCAAGAAATATACACTTCTGTATAAGCTTATAGTCTTCCCAATAGGAGTCTATATTAAATATACTGTCAAATTATTAAGCGATGTACAGCTAGCAAAATGATAATATCTTGACCATGGTCATACAGAGATTGAATCATAAAATTAAATTTGTGTGATAAATCTGTGCAGTATGATAATTTATTTTGACGTTTGTATTTCAAAAATCATTTTGACTTGAAAAGTAATGTGTAATTTAATTAATTACATTGGACCGTCATGTAATGGTTATTTAATTATTGTGAAAATACCTGTAATGGCAATGCCATTTTCATAATGTAATTGTAATTTAATTAATTACATCATCATGTAATTGAACCCATGCCTGTTACAAGCAGTAGCTGTCCTAACTGATCCTAAAATTAACTTTGGCTACGTCTATCACAAAATTAACTTTGGCTATGTCTATTACAAATGCCACATTTAGCTACAGTAGAGGTATTTCAAAAATGTACGTCATTGTAGCTGAAAGGACATAATTAATGGTTATTTAACCAGAACTACAGTTCTGAACAAACCACTACAAAGCCTGGTTAACTGTACTACGAAAATGTCCTCTCAATTAATCAATTTCATTGATTATCGACATCTTATTGTTGTACTTACGGTCACTTGAGTTTCTTAAAGTTTCAATTTGACTTTTAATGAGGCCCAAAGTAAGAATACTGCAATGTCTTAATAAGCTCTTGATGGGTATTGGTTAGACTATTTATCCCATTTCATTCCATTCACCATGGAAACAAAACTCTAAAATGCTTAAAAACAGTCGACAATTTATGACAAATATTGAGTCTAGGGCTGTGTAAAATTGATGAATCAAGTGTTGAACTGAAAGTGGAAGCAGTTGACATAATACTGAATTTCTGAGATAAACAAATACAGTACATATATCAAAAGTTCAGGCATAATAAGAATTGTACCAATTACACTTTACACATTCACACTGGGACCTAACACTTTACATATTCACACTGGGACCTAACACTTTACATATTCACACTGGGATCTAACACTTTGCTAGGTTTATCCTAATCTTTATTAAAACACTTTCCGGGATTCAGATGTCAACTGACATCTTCATTATTCCCAATCTTTATATTGCAATCGTTCACATGCATCACTCTTCAACAGAATCAAGGAGACATCATGTCAGAAAGACAAAAACTAAATTTAAACTAAAACTATAACTTCACTTGTAAACCTTACAATTAGCATAGCTGTAGAGTTCCCGTACGATTTCATACCCTGGCCTTCAGGTACTTCTAAATTATCTCCGATCAGAAATTTGAAAGAGCTAGATCTACAATAGTACGGACAGTGACCGATATTTTAAAGTAAAATCGATATATTACACAGATAGATTCCAAGATCTATTCACGGTAGCGTAAGTAGTACAGTACAATCAGGGACCTATATATTAACATATATACGTCCCTGGTACAATATTACGGATAAGATTTTTTCTGTTTAATTTCCGATCTGTTGGGCCACTGACAGAAGTGACTGCGATGAGACCATTATGAAACGATCATTCAAAAATAAATTCATTTCAAAACACTGAAATACTTTCCAGAAGCAACAAAAATGTGCTAGATGCTTACATAACATTTTTCAAATGCATACTGCTTCAAAGGAAGAGTCTTGAAAATATTTTGAAAAAAGTGCCATGGCGGCAGTGCCCAGCTTGCGCGTCGCCGTCGAGCCTAAATTCAATACATGCGATAGCTCATTTCAAATATTGACTTTAGATTCAGCTTATATATATATATAGTGATACTTACCTACATAAAATACCCGCCATCTTCTTTCTGCCGCCGTCTTCTTTCAGGGTCCAGCAGCAAAGAGCACCACGGATGTTTCCGTCAAAATTTTATGCTACTCTAAATCATTCTTATTTTAGTTTCATTCTTATTTTCAACTACTTATTTCAGTATTTTCAAAAGTTTTCAACAGTATTAAACGGGATGAAAATTTTCGAAAAAGAAAAAAAAGAAAGATATATGACACCAACAATGCATCGCGCGGAAAAGAAAGTTAAGCCGCCATATTGGCATCGCCTCGTCTGCAAAATTTACCACCATAAAACGTGAGTCTTTGTCATTGTATTTACAAATTTCGATGTCTGATTATCATTAATACACAACACAAAACGTTTTCTTGATGTACAAGTAATGAAGAAAATGTCGATAAGGTTGTTTCATTTAATGACTAGCATCAGCAACTTGTAGGGGCGATAATCCAATGATTACGGTAATGTCCGGCAGATGGAGTAGGAGTAAACTTTCGATTTATGAACCAATGAAAACGAAGTACTGATACTCGGGGCCAGTGGCGACAGCAACATGCTGAAGAGCATTGAAAATGCACTTAGCATAAAAATGGACAACATTTGCGAGTTCGGAACACGTTTGTGCCGTGTCACCTGATATCAGAGACATTTTGAGATTTTCAACGTCACTTTACCACAAAGGACTTGGTTATAGTGCCATTAACAGCGCTAGGTCGATGATGTCCACATTTATTGTTATTAATGGCCAAGGATGTTGCAATCATCCCTTGATCAAGAGATTTATGAAAGGAGTTTTCAATTTACGACCGGCTTTGCCCAGGAACAATGTTTCATGGGACCCTGAGCAAGTGTTAACATTCTTAAAGACTATGGGACATGAAAATCTTCAACACTAAAGCTGGTTACTTTGTTGGCACTATTAACAGGCCAACGACTACAATCCCTTCACTTGTTGGATATAAAGAACATTTCTCTAACAGATTCTAGTCTGAAACTTTGATTTGGAGATGCACTAAAACAGACTCGTCCAGGTTTCCATCAAAGGGAGATAACCCTTCCGCAGTTTGAGGACAAACAGCTATGTGTTGTGTCAATATGTAAAGACTACCTAACAAGAACTGAACCTCTTAGAGGACAACACTCAAAACTGTTTTTGGGGTTTCAAAAGCCTTACAAACCAGTGTCTAAAGCAACATTATCTAGATGGATTAAGACAACGTTGGCTAGTGCTGGTATAGATATGAATATCTTTACACCGCATAGCAGCATCAGTTTCTGCAGCATCTAGACTACAGGAACCAATAACTTCAATATTAAGTACAGCTGGATGGAGCAATACCAACACGTTTGCAAAGTTATACAAAAAACCTTTTGTGGATTCTAGCACAGTATTAAAGATTCATTGACATTTATACATGTGATGTTAGAACTTTGTGATCTTTCTGTAATGACATGAATGGAGTACCCCTGAGATCGTACAGCAGAGACAAATACATTTAGTGAATGACAGTTAATGGAATTATCTCAGTTGAGTTGTTTGTGCAGTTTTACTGTTAAGATTGTGTGTCCATCATTCTAGAGGAAGCTGCGTACTATGGAACTATGTTCATTACATTTGGTATTATCATATTATTAACTTTGTGGTTTTCATACATGTGCCAAAGGAAATAGGACTCAAGGAACTGATCTCTAGTCACTGATCACCTTTTGAAGACTATCAACGATATTGATAATTTTACATTTCATTTAGCTTAGACAAGCGCGAGTAGTTTGTAGACTATTTGAAACGGTTGGAGTGTGGTACACCTGTTAGCAGTTTCAAACAGATACACCCCCCACTTACATCTTTATTGTTCCTTTCATCATCAGTAACACATTAAACATTATCAACAGCAGTGGACTGTTCCCTTATGTAGACCTCATTAAGTAATATTCCGTTGTTTTTACCGCATTTAACAAACTTTTATATACAAGTATTTTGCCTGTTTTCTTATCTGTCAATATGTCTTGGCTTTGCAGGTACTGGAAGTATGGGCTGAAATGTTTGAGTGTGTTGATATCCTGATTCAAACTCATTTAACAGTTTTTTGAGAAAAAAAATTGAGGTGAAAAGTATTCAAAGTTAAGTTCATCAAAGCGTTTGAGATCTATACAGTCAGCTTATGAAGATAGATTTCCATTAATACAGATTTTTGTAGCTGTTTAAGACTGAAGAAATATCCATGCCCTTTTACCAGACATTTCTACAGGTGAAGATGTTTCTAAGCAAATAACTATCTTTTTCTCACTAGTATTTTCATAAATATTAAGATATTTTGACTTTGTTAATTATACAAAGCAGATCTTAGCTGCCATAAAAAGAATACAAACTTAAGGATAGGATGAAACTTCATTCCTTTTAACATACAAACAAAATAAATTTAAATCCTCAATATATTTTTTACAACATTGAATTATTTACTCTTACTACTGGTGAGAAAGGACCATCATTAGCCAAAAAAATTAAACAAGGAATATTCAGAAATTATATCTTTTTTTATTTCAACAATGTCTAAATATCAAAATGATTTTTTTTAACTTATGACCATTATAAAATTGTTATGACATGTGTATACAAGTTTCTGAAACTGAATCAAAACAATACACCAACTTATGTACAAGATCTCCAAGATGTCCAGCAATATGACGTCTTCTTTCGCCACAGAAAACATGCACACAGCGGGGCTTTGGTTAGAAGATCTGTCCAATGGGTTATGTCTCGTTGCTAATGAAGCCCTCCAGTATCCTGGAGAACAGGTTTGTTAATGTTTCAGGGTAAAAAAATGTATTATCATCATGTTTCATCATCCTCATCGTCTTCTCCAAAAGATAAAAGTTTGGAATTTTTCACTTTTTTAGCACCAGAGCTTTTCTTTTTATCGGAGTCTTTCTTTTTTTTTGATGTTGTTGGATTTAAATCTGATAAGTCAGATTCTTTTGTTGAGCGCTTTTCTGGTCGTTTAAATGTTATCTTTCCATCTCTGATTGCTTTCTCTTCTGTAAAAGAGAATGAAAAAAGAAGGGAAAAAAATAAGAGAATCAGTGAAACTGATGAAAACTCACCAAAAAAAAAACTTTACTGGACACAAAATTTTAACAAAGGCCAATAACTCTTTAATTAACGTGTGGCAGGCCCTGAATTTGATGTACTGCACATTCTCTTAGTATCACCAATGTACACACAAAGTTCATGATCCTAGTTTTAATGCAAGCAAAGCTCGTGACATAAAATATTGAAGGAGTTTGATATCAATCAATGTACTGAAAATTAACACATGAGCCATAATATACCCTCAACTACAGATTTATTACAAATATTGATATCATTAGAGAATTTTTTAACCTTGACCTACAAAATGATGTTGACACCTGCTGTATCATGAGAACAGCTTTAACCTTGACCTACAAAATGATGTTGACACCTCCTGTATCATTAGAACAGCTTTACCCTTGACCTACAAAACCAGTGACGTTACCTTCTTCCTGGTTATATTTGATCTCTGCAATCTCTGCCTGCTCTGCGGTTAGGTCACCTGGGCGTGTTACTACGACGATAGGTTTCTCATCATCTGCCTCTGGACGGTCATCATCATCATCATCGAAATCTGGCACAGTTTGTCTCTAAAATAGTTCAGCTATTGTATAGTAAAGAAAAGTCAATACTTGCACCTGATAAAGATAACAGGAGCAGAAAATTGACTAGAAGGTCATGGCCCTCAACTGTCATCTGACAATCGACGTATGGATGGAAAATGACAGAATTCACTGATGGTGGTCTGACAAATCTGATAAATTCAAATTATGAACATTGCTTGAAAGTATCAGAAACTCATAAATGGTAGGTTCTGTGCATGAAAAAGAGTTGCACCATCATGTAACAAAATAACTACTGTGGTTAGCATACTGAAGTTTTAATCAGACTGAAAAGTAACAACAAAACATCTTTTTCTTTTCTTTAAAAAAAAAATTCAAATTCCAAATATTTTTCTCATTGGTGTGATGGAAACATAAGAAGTTCAGACTATCAGGTATTTGTTCTGGACCAAATCATAAAATGATATTTGGTCAGGACAATCTCAGGATCCCTTCATTCATGTTTGATATCACTGCCTGATAATGTTTCGGGCCACATTTGGTTGCAATCTACAAAGGCATTAAGGAAGAGTAGCATATGAAGCAAAATATTGTCTAACTTCCTCTTTCGGAGCCCTGCCTCTAAGTCCCTCGGGGCCGAATCAACTTTGTGAATTTAAGAAAATATTCTCCATCTACAATGTTGTTTTGATCCTAATTTGGTTTAAATGCATTAAAGTCTTATGGAAGAGTAGCATTTTGAAGCAAAATATTGTCGAACTCTTCCATTTGAGGCATCGCCCCCAAAGTGCCTAGGGGTTGAATTGCATTTTTGAATTTAAAAAATAATTGCCCTATCTCAATGATGTTTCAGACCAAATTTGGTCAAAATCCATATTAGCATTAATAAAGAGTTGCAATTTGAAACAAAATTATCTAATTTCTCCTTTGTGACCCCATCCCAAGTCCCTATGGGTTGAATCAAATTTCTGAATTTAAGAATTATTTGCAAACCCCTACTGATGTTATGAACAAAATATGAATGAAATTGATTCAAGCATGAAGGAAGAGCAGTATTTTGAAGAAAAAAAATTGTCTAATTTTCCCTCTTTTAGCTCCGCCCCCAAGTCCCTAGGAATCAAATAAATTTCTGAATTTAAGAATTATTTGCCAACCTCTAATGATGTTACAAACAACAATTGAATGAAATCCATCATAGCATTCAGGAAGAATTGTGTTTTGAAGTGAAGTAGTGTCTAACTACCCTTTTGGGGCTCTATCCCAAGGTCCTTAGGGGCCGAATTAAAATTTCTGAATCTAAAAAATGATCCCCCACCCCTAATTATGTTTCAGACCAAATTTGGTTGAAATCTGCCGAGGCGTTAAGCAGGAGTAGTGCTTTTAAGAAAAAATTTACAGACAGCAAACCGCAGACAGAGCATGACAACGGCTGTATAATAGCAATAGGTCATCTTGATTCTTTGGGTCAGATGACCTAACATTAATAACCTCTCTCTTCTTCCCTACTACAACACTTTTTCTCTCCCTTATTACTCCTAAACACCTTCATTATCATTACCTACCTCACTAACTTCCTCTCTCCCTATCTACCCTCACTAACTTCCTCTCTCCCTTTCAACCCTCACTACTTACGACACTAGCTTCCTCTCTCCCTACCAACCCTCACTTACCTCCTCTCTCCCTACCTACCCTCACTTACCTCCTCTCCCATTACCTACCCTCACTTACCTCCTCTCCCATTACCTATCCTCACTTACCTCCTCTCCCATTACCTACCCTCACTTACCTCCTCTCCCATTACCTACCCTCACTTGTCTCTAGCTACCTTCGCTCACTTACCTCCTCTTCCCATACCCACCCTCTCTAACATTTTCTTACTTTCCGTATCTACTCTCACTCACTCATTCTCCATATACAATACTCTCGCGTTTACACCGCCTACCCTTACTCACCTCCTCACACACCTATCGGCCTACATTTTGTATAGTAGAGAGCACTCACCTTCGTATCAATACTTGGCCCTTCTTTGTAACCTATCTTCTGTTTAAATTGTCTGATGAATGCTGGTTCGTCGTTTTGTACAAACGAGATAGCATTTTTGCCTCTGCCCCTGCCCGACATCATAACACCGTGCACGCGGTTTTGTTGTCAAACTTAACGAAGGGGGATAACTCAGTCATTTCTGAACATTAAGGATGCGTAAGCCGTAATCGTTACCCGGTCATGCATAAATTCCGACGGGATAAAGATATGACCACAAAATTTAGTTAATTTAACAATTTACGACAATTAGTTTGATTATAATGATATAAAGTCCCCTAACATAGAAATGGACATACCGAACACTGGATTAAGTTTTACAGGAATGATCGTTATTGTATATAAATCAAAGACACAAGATATTGCATTATAAACCAGGGACGTTTATACTGAATTATAAACCAGGGACGTATGATACTGTAATATAAACCAGGGACGTATGATACTGTAATATAAAACCAGGGACGTATGGCCAGTAGGGGACGCATGATACTGAATTATAAACCAGGGACGTATGATACTGTAATATAAACCAGGGACGTATGATACTCTTATATAAACCAGGGACGTATGATACTGAATTATAAACCAGGGACTAAGTATACTGTAATATAAACACCAAATTATGTATCAATTTCAAATCAGTCAGAGATTTCTCTGAACGCCAAAATTATATAAAAAGTGTCACTACATACATAACTTTCAATAATAAAAAGATGCAAGTCTGACGACATACATGTAAGTTTCACAGGTAAATTGACCTGGGATAGAATCAGTATCAGGACAAGTTGCCCAGTAGGGGACATCGGAATGTTGGCGCACAGATCTGGAGATACACTCGTTCAGGTTAACCCTTGTCCGTCTGCAATGTCTGTAATATATTTGTATGCATATTACATGTATTTAGAATGTACATGTTCGGTCTCTCCTATCGTGAACGCCATAACATTTATATTTTTGTAATGTTGATTAACTGTTAAACTGTTTAAATCCCTTTGATATCATACCGTGACACGGATATAAAGGGGTATATTGTGCCTAATGCCGTGCACGTGACAGCGCGTGGCACAGGTGTGTTTAGTGTTATTCACCTCTCAATTTCATGGGATCGGATCGAACCAAGATGCTAAATCACATATGTGTATATTACATGCATATCGAGATAAATGGAATCTCATAATTAGTTTTTTCCTTTTATTTTAAATTTCCAACTTGATATAAGAAATGTTGTAAGTATATATAAGTAAGTATATAACACATGTCATGCATCGCATCATTTATCAGTCCACATTAATGTTGGTTTTGTTTTGTAAATATTTTCAATATATTTCTGTATTTTTGGACCGGATCTATACTACGGAACGTACATGTAACTTTGGAATATACAAATTTTGACACAAAGTATCACTTTCATCAAAAAGACATTTGTAATAACAGTTCTCAATGAAGAGTTATTAAAATGATTGCAAACTGACTTTACATATAAAAAAGGAGAAAAAACTTAACTTAAAATGAAATAAATAAATGTTACATTCATGAAGTGAAATACTTCGAAATATTACTACCGCGCGGCCTCATTGCCTCCTTAAGTGTGTGTTTAATTTTAGTGGTGTGCTACCTAGGCGAAACGTCGATGCGGTCTTTCTGCATCGATTCGTGAAAATCAATATTTTCGACATTGCCGACTCTGTGACCTCAGGGAATATTGATTGTTGCATTTCATTTGGCTTAGGATGCTATAGGATCTAATATAACAAGTTAATTTGGCAAAACGTCTGATTAAAGATATTCACTCCGATAAACCGGAAGTGAAGGTGTATTTTTGCGGAAGTGTCATGGTAGCACTATGAGTACTATGAGTACAAATCGTCTGCAACTTCAGGATCATTTCACCCGGTTTGTATATGACCTGTTAAATCATTAGTATGTTTAGTTATTTGGTGTTCGCGCTCACGAAATGTTTGTATATTTCTTATTTAATACATCCGTATTTACCTTGGTTTGGATTGATATGATGCTATTTTTTTAATAACACCTGTTTGCATGTCAATAAACTCCTACTGTATATGTATGTCCTTATCATGTCACGACTTTTTCTTCGCTCCAGACCTTTGATAGCTTTTAGAATTCATTGAAAAAACCTTGCCGTTAATTGTAAACCATTTGTATCATCTTAATTTCAGAGTATGAACGTTAGATTTTCAGGAAGCAGTGGAAGTTTTACATATTGTTATGGAAATAATTGTCATGTTTATTCTTCAATACAAGTAATCATGTGATGTTATAGATTGTCGGTCAAAATGATACATGGAGATAATATTGTAATTATTGAATTGGAGGATTACAGAAAAGAAAGAACCGAAGAAGGACTCTCATTTTGAAGAAAACATTTGCACAAGCCAACAAAGTGTAATAAAAGAAAATGGCACTCGATTATTGTTAAAGCCCATTGAAGGAGATGACAGTCTTTATCAATTTGATACGTGTATGTGACAATGATATATTTTGTTTAGTGTGTCAGGTTAAGGATCAAATTTAAATGGTATTACGCGTAAGTGTATGTTGTGACCTAATTATTGACATCTGAAGGTACTTTGTACATACATTATGATTATCCTACTTTAATATTACACTGTATTACAAATAACAATAATTTTATCTTCTCTATCGTTAATACCAAATAAATAACTAATAATTTTCTTCTGCAAAATGAATGTGATATGCATTTGTAATAATGATGCCAACTTTATATATATTTGTCTTTCAACAGCAAACCGATAAATATTTAGAATTGCATTTGTGATGTAAACTGTAAAAATGATTTTGGTAGAGATATATTCAGTTATTACACATATTGATTTTTAGATATCTGGAATTTGCATGATCAACTTTAGATCTTATAAGTGTATACAGGTAAAGGTATTGATTTTTGGAATAACTGAAACTCACAGTCATGTAACACAGACTGTTGCTATGTATGTATAGGTTATAGATGTATATAAAGTGTATGCTATTCTAAATCAAGATTTTTTCATACTTTTTTGTACTTATATATACTGTACAAATATGTATGTCAGGGATGTGGAGAGTTTGAAAACAGATTTGAAACAGGAAAAAAAAAAAGATCTTATACATGTACAATATTTAATCTTTCAAAGTTAAATATCTTGAAAAAATATTGAATAAGGTTTAAACTTGAGGATTATTTGTTTGCATGCTTGTTAATTTCATTAAAACTCCCCTATATATATACATATTCTTTCCTTGCCTCTATACACTGTCCCAACCTTTGAAACAATCAAGTTGAATGTTATCAAGAAACAGACATAATGTATTTTTCATCCAAGCTATTATTTCACTGTTATGTTCAATCCTTTTGACAGTAGCTATATTACTTTTTAGGTATGCCTTGACGTGAGGCTCATTTAAGGTATAATTTAAGGCATGTTTTAGGCACATTTTCAGGTGCGTTTTTAGGTATACATTGACATGAGAGAATGGACACACATTTCAGGTGCTTTTGAGACACCTTTTAGGTATGTAAAATGGAAAATACATACCCCAATCTGTGCCTAAAATGTTAAATGCATACCCCAATCTGTGCCTCATATGTACCTGTTTTTGCTCATTGTCAAAAGGACAAGCCTACTTTTGTGGTGGTGTGATATCTGTTGTTGTCTTTCTATCTACCAGGTATGTGATGGAGAACCAAAATGATTCTGTCATTTTTTGCACACAAGTGCATACTGTGTTGGAGGGTGTGCAAGTTTGTTAAAATGAATGACCTTGACCTACTGTCAACTGTCAAGGTCATAAAAGTTAATTATACTAAAATTTTCAAATGACTTCTTCTCAAAAACAAAAATATCATAGTCAGAATAGCTGGCCAGTAGCAAGGTTAAGCTTGATTATAAGTATGTTCCCATCAATATATTTGACCTCCTTTCAAGGTCACAGGCCAGGGGTCAGATGTGTTAATCAAGCAAATTAATTTGGTTTAGTTGAGTTCATTTTATCCTATGTGCTACATATAGGTCCATTATGTCTCTTGTTTCTTTTTTATAGACAGAAGTTATCCTACAGATTGTTATTTAAACAGAAATATCTTTTTTTTGCAGATGAATAGATGGAGTTTAATATGCTACAGAGTGAGATATCTATTAAATTTTATCAGAAAGTTGACATTTCAGATGATGGCCATTGTGTGATTTGGAGTGCTGTGATAAAATGGCTCTGCCTAGAGCTGTTCGGGAGTGGCTGTCCGAGTACAAGGTAAACAGAATTTTTGTGTCTGCAGAAAAACAAGTTTTATGCAAAGCTGTATATCTCGGAATAAGCCAATATCTTATTATAAGTCTACCCATACTGTACAGCAGATTCAGTGTTGGGTAACACTTTGTCTCTGTCATGTAAGGAGGTCATCTGCTCTGAGTCAATTAGGATAAGGTGTTTTAGAATAGGTTTAAGAAATCCAAGTTTCCTGTTTGCTAAAGCTGTCAATATAGCTCATCCAGTAGACAGGAAGTTGATCCTCAGTGATTAATATCATTTAGATGCCTGGTGATTCTATTGTGTCCCTTGTTCTTATTTTGGAACATGACATTAGTAATGTAGATAGACTAAAATGAATATGGCAGCTGTCGTTGATTAAGTACATTCTCCTTGTACTTTTGCAGGTGTATTTGTGTAAATCTTTCTTTGTTCATATTTTGCCTTAATTTCATCAATTTTGAAATTGAGTTAAGGTTTTATTGAATTGTATTTTCTATTTGTTTTTCATGGACTTACAGCTACTTCAAAAGAATTGAATGATTTTTAATTTCATTGTCTGTGGTGAATAATTTCAACAATTCAGTTTTGTATTTATGGCAAATGAAAAACTTGAACATTGAGTTAGACACAGTATGAAAATCTCTTTTGCAGATTGTCATAATTCAACTTCAGTCTATATAACGATAATTTATTTAGCTGCCAACGTCATTTTTCCTTACTTTATGGCTATTCGGCATTTATCCTAAATGTCACTATGGTTCATTATTTGGTGCTAAAAAATCACAAACACAGAAAAAGGATAATAAGGTAAAATCAATGATGTAAGCTGATCAACATACTGGATTGTGGAGTTATATGTCAGGAGTGGAGGTAGTGATGAAAGTTATACTACTGACTGTAGTACTGGTAGATTGTGGAGTTATATGTCAGGAGTGAAGGTAGTGATGAGTTATACTACTGACTGTAGTACTGGTAGATTGTGGAGTTATATGTCAGGAGTGAAGGTAGTGATGAGTTATACTACTGACTGTAGTACTGGTAGATTGTGGAGTTATATGTCAGGAGTGGAGGTAGTGATGAAAGTTATACTGCTGACTGTAATACTGGTAGATTGTGGAGTTATATGTCAGGAGTGGAGGTAGTGATGAGTTATACTACTGACTGTAGTACTGGTAGATTGTGGAGTTATATGTCAGGAGTGGAGGTAGTGATGAAAGTTATACTACTGACTGTAGTACTGGTAGATTGTGGAGTTATATGTCAGGAGTGGAGGTAGTGATGAGTTATACTACTGACTGTAGTACTGGTAGATTGTGGAGTTATATGTCAGGAGTGGAGGTAGTGATGAAAGTTATACTACTGACTGTAGTACTGGTAGATTGTGGAGTTATATGTCAGGAGTGGAGGTAGTGATGAAAGTTATACTACTGACTGTAGTACTGGTAGATTGTGGAGTTATATGTCAGGAGTGGAGGTAGTGATGAGTTATACTACTGACTGTAGTACTGGTAGATTGTGGAGTTATATGTCAGGAGTGGAGGTAGTGATGAAAGTTATACTACTGACTGTAGTACTGGTAGATTGTGGAGTTATATGTCAGGAGTGGAGGTAGTGATGAAAGTTATACTACTGACTGTAGTACTGGTAGATTGTGGAGTTATATGTCAGGAGTGGAGGTAGTGATGAAAGTTATACTACTGACTGTAGTACTGGTAGATTGTGTTATATATGGGGAGTTTTGTTCGATGTTGTATGTGAACTTTTAACATATTTTACTTCTTCTGGAAAACTCCAAAACTGATTACAGTGAAATTTTACAAAAATCTTCCAGGGCTAAAGGTGCACCAAAATTGTGAATTATATGGTCCCCAATCCACATGGGCCTGAAGGGCAGGGCCAAAAATGGTCAAATTGATGGAAATTTTCAACCTTCTTCTCCAACCTCAGTACTCTTCAAGGATGGAAAGGCTTCAAATGGTTTACCAAAATTGTAAATTCCATAACCCCAAAGTGTCATTTACCTCAGGGGAGGGTAAAGATTACTATAGCTTATATAGGAAAATAATATTTTTGAACATCATTTGTCTTTTTTTTTATTTAAAAATAGTTCAGGCCTGGTAAGAATTATCATTTTAAGATGACATTTTTATGAGATGCACATATTGACCTAGACTGACCCCAAGGCTGTTGGCTGTCAGATATGGGTCAGATTGGCTGAAATTTCAAAAATCTTCTTCTCAATACCTAGATAATGTAGAACCAAATACTCTTCATGGATGAAAATTTCTTACAATGCTTTATAAAAATGTAAGTTTCATGACCACAGGGTCTCACATTTCCCCTTCAGGAGGAGGTAAAATATACTATATTCTATATAGGAAAATTACTTTTTTGAGCAATAATTTGTTTATTTTCTTTTAGATTTTTTAGGTCGCCTGAGCTGGAGGCTCATGGTGACCTATTACCATCATGATTTGTCTGTCGTTGTGCGTCGTGCTTCGTGCACCGTGCGTCGTTAACTTTTCACATATTCAGCTTCCTATCAAGAACCAGTGGATGGATTTTGACCAAACTTGTCACAAAGCATCCCCACGGGAAGCCGCTTCAAGTTTCTGAAGAAAAAGGGTGTGGCCCCAATAGGGGTTGCAGGAGGGGGAAAAAGGGGATAAAATTAGGTAAATCTTTAAAAATTTTCTTCTCATGAACCAACAGTCAGATTAAATTCATATTTGATATTTAGGGTCCTAATGGCAAGGTCTACAAAGTTTGCAAATGAACAAAAAATCGGGTCAAAAACGGCCCCACTAGGGGGCGCTCAAAAGGGTAGAAAATTCAATTTTGACCGATTTCAACCAAATGTGGTAAACAGCATCCCTTAGTTAAGGACATATGAAATTATGTTGAAAAAGGTGATAATGTCCCCTTTGAGGCCCATAAAGGGTGTAAAAGGGGCCATATGTTTGGCTAAGACATTATGGACTTCCTCTCAAGAACCATTGGGTGGGTCATGTTCAAACTTGGTACTGATGTTTTACACTTGGTCCTGCACAAGTGTTGTTACATTTTTGCAACATTTTAAAATCCCCAGATTACTGACATATATTCCTCAGGTGACCGTTAAGGCCCCTTGGGCCTCTTGTTTCTATTAAATTTCTGATAATGCAATACATATTAACAGTGATGTCTTGCCTAACAATGCTTCAGGACATCGTTTGCACACCAGCTGGTTTTATATTGGTGATAATCTGGTAGGTCAGAAAACGGTTAAATACATGGAGCCAAACTCAACTTTTTGTCTCTAAGGCTATCTACTATTTGTGAGTTCTTGTTTGGGACAAGTTTTTGTGTGCTTGGTTCATTGTCTGTAAACAGCTGGGGTTGTTTTAGGGCAGGGTCTTTTTTGAGCAGCCGATGGCTTCCTCATTTAACAATATACATGTTGTCCACAACAGTTAGATGAAGTTTCTTGCCCAAAGACACAACCATGTCATTGCAGACATTTAGTAGCTTCATGAGAAACACAGAAATCATTACAGGTAGGGAGTTATCATGGCCCCTCTTGTTCGGGGGACTGACTTTGACAGATGGTTTATGCTCGACTTAGTTATTGATTATTGCATATTTTAGTAAAGGCTGTTTTCTCATATTTCTCTACATGAAAGAACATCAATAATTTGTTAACCTTGTGAAGTATAAAGAATTTTCAATATGAACTTATCATTGATATTGCTGTGTCTGTGTACTGATAAGCCTGAAGCAATTCTACTTAATATAATAATGATAAAATTAGTTGAACTTAGTCCACATACAGATATCAGAGCTTGACAAACTTGTTATAAGCCTGTACGACTAAATATTGTCTTTCTTACAGGCATTATCGACTGAGGAACTACCAAGTTACATTTCAACAGTGAGACAGAATGAAGAACTAGTGACCAGTCTTTATTGTCTGTTTGATAGTCTCCCCTCACTGGAGGTAAGTTACATGTCTACAGTGAGACAGAAGAACTAGTGACCAGTCTGTCTGATAGTCTACCCTCACTGGAGGTAAGTTCATGTCTACAGTGAGACAGAAGAACTAGTGACCAGTCTGTCTGATAGTCTCCCCTCTCTTGAGGTGAGTTACATGTCTACAGTGAGACAGAAGAACTAGTGACCAGTCTGTCTGATAGTCTCCCCTCACTGGAGGTAAGTTACATGTCTACAGTGAGACAGAAGAACTAGTGACCAGTCTGTCTGATAGTCTCCCCTCACTGGAGGTAAGTTACATGTCTACAGTGAGACAGAAGAACTAGTGACCAGTCTGTCTGATAGTCTCCCCTCACTGGAGGTACGTTACATGTCTACAGTGAGACAGAAGAACTAGTGACCAGTCTGTCTGATAATCTCCCCTCACTGGAGGTAAGTTACATGTCTACAGTGAGACAAAAGAACTAGTGACCAGTCTGTCTGATAGTCTCCCCTCACTGGAGGTAAGTTTCATGTTTACAGTGAGACAGAAGAACTAGTGACCCAGGGGTGTAAAAACATTTTTCAAGCCATTTGCCCCTGGCAAGTAGTCACTGAGAAACCACTTGTCCGAAACTAGTTTTCACTTGCCCAACTGTAAATCATGCACTCGGTATCTCTATTTGACTGCTACCTGAAGAATTGTACCTGCTGCCCCATTGCATGATTGTAAGAGGCGACTAAATTTGGGATTGTACCTGCTGCCCCCATTGCATGATCGTAAGAGGCAACTGAATCTGGGATTAAAAAAATTTTTTTTTTTTATGTTTAAGATAGATATAGATATAGACAGATAGTAGTCAGTGAACACAATGACATTATGTGACATGTGATTGTCAGACAAGTAGTAATTCATTATCCTGAAATTTCCTGGACTCCTGGTGCAGACTGATCAAGATCTCCAGACAGCTTGTGGCCTTGTAGATGTCGAGTGCCACTTCCCATTTTAATCCACTGCAGAATGGATGGTGTTGGGTCAAAATCAAAGAGCTCTGGACCCTTGCTCATTATGAACAGCTGATTCTGCAGGTTCTTCTCAGTGAGGGTCGTACGTAGAGCTGTCTTCACCACATTCATAGTGGAGAAACCTCGCTTGCATGCTGCAGTACATGTTGGTTTCCATGTTTAGGCTAGTGAGCTATCTGTCATCAGAACAATGTTATAAATATTTATATAGGTAAAGTTAGAATAACGGCTCAACTCTGATGAATTATCTACTCATTGAGTGCAACACAACTTCATTATGATTATAAATGGGAGTGAAGGGATTATTTTTTGTTTCTGATGCCTTGTTACATTTGTCTTTGTCATGTGGTTATGACAATACAGAAGCACATTAAATTTAATTTACATTGAATGAGTTTATATATAAATTCAGCCTGCTGGAAAATGAGCCATATTCTTGTCCCAACATTCTGGTGGTTGTGTTGATAGTCGTTGTATCTGTAATTGTCAGAGTTGGATTCATTGGTGGTTAATTCAATTTGGCCTTTTTTGCAGGTTTATAAACTCTGGCAATTTGTTGTACTGTCACACACTACTGTAGTAGTACTATTTCACACTGTTGTACTGTAGTAGTTTGATTTGTTACCTGAAATTTTGTACACTTTTAAAGTGACTTTGTACAAGCTAGCAGTCTCTTCATGCTTTTTGCTTCAGGAAGAATTTTCATATTTGATATTTTGCTTATACCGTTGTCAGTCACACAAATGGAATTAATCTTTCAGTTCTTTCAAGTTAGTTAAGTAATCCTCATATTTAATTACATTCCATTATAAACAATATAGCAAAGGATGTTGATGATGTAATCATTTTATTTGTAAATGATGCCAAACCATACTCAAAAATAATCAACAGTGAAAGATGCCTTACTCAAAATATTGATAACACTGTTTGAATGAACCTAGTACCCGTTATAAAGATATTAACATATATATGATTTTGTGTCTTTGCGAGGTGCAGGGTATAATGTCATGCCTTATCTTGTTATATTTATTCCATTATGATTGTCCTCTTCCATCTGTTTATCTGTCTGTGCTGTAAGTAGACCAAGTTCATGTTTTAATGTATCTGTTTGAGTTCTTAGTCGGAACGAAAGTTTCTCAAAATTACTGATGTCTTTAAGGAGTGTATCAGTAGGTTTTAATGTTTGTGAGTTCAATCACTCCTGAAATAACAAGATATTAAGAATCGATGGAACAGAATGAAATGACATTGTACAAATAAAAAACAAAATCTAGTGATCTACAATGTTTCAATACATAAGTTTCCACATTTTAATGTATCAGATAAAAAGAACTTTTCTGAACAACTCAATTGTACAATTTATAGGGTAAAACATATACCAATATAACCATTGATGTCACTGGATTACTGTGATGATGAAGTTGGCTATCTCCAGAATCACAAGGTTACATTGTACTGCAGCTATAGAATTCACAACCCGTTAAATTTTTCTTGGTGATTTATGTGTTGTTTTCTATCGAGATTTGTTCAAAATTTGAACTGATATCTCTTTACTGTGTTCCTGTCCTGAGATAAGTAGATGTTTATATTCATATTTCTTCAGAATTGTTGCTGTATGATACATGTTCTTGTTTTCAGTCCCTGGAACCAGTGTACCATCAGCTGTTTGAGTTTTACAGATCTCGGGAGGCTGGACTAAAGCGGTTCACTTTGGAATTTGTACCTACTCTCATCTGGCTTTATCTGTCATCTCTCAGCATCAACGGCAAGAAGGTAGGTCAACATCGAACTGTTCTCATTTTCTGATTTGTGACGCCATCAAAAAAGGATCAATATAAAGGTAACTGAGAAATATAGAATTGGGTATCAGTCTTACTGAGAAATATAGAATTGGGTATCAGTCTTACTGAGAAATATAGAATTGGGTATCAGTCTTACTGAGAAATATAGAATTGGGTATCAGTCTTACTGAGAAATATAGAATTGGGTATCAGTCTTACTGAGAAATATAGAATTGGGTATCAGTCTTACTGAGAAATATAGAATTGGGTATCAGTCTTACTGAGAAATATAGATTTGGGTATCAGTCTTATTGAGAAATATAGAATTGGGTATCAGTCTTATTGAGAAATATAGAATTGGGTATCAGTCTTTAGAAATATAGAGAAATATAGAATTGGGTATAGAATTGGGTATCAGTCTTATTGAGAAATATAGAATTGGGTATCAGTCTTACTGAGAAATATAGAATTGGGTATCAGTCTTATTGAGAAATATAGAATTGGGTATCAGTCTTACTGAGAAATATAGAATTGGGTATCAGTCTTACTGAGAAATATAGAATTGGGTATCAGTCTTATAGAATTGGGTATCAGTCTTACTGAGAAATATAGAATTGGGTATCAGTCTTACTGAGAAATATAGAATTGGGTATCAGTCTTACTGAGAAATATAGAATTGGGTATCAGTCTTACTGAGAAATATAGAATTGGGTATCAGTCTTACTGAGAAATATAGAATTGGGTATCAGTCTTACTGAGAAATATAGAATTGGGTATCAGTCTTATTGAGAAATATAGAATTGGGTATCAGTCTTACTGAGAAATATAGAATTGGGTATCAGTCTTACTGAGAAATATAGATTTGGGTATCAGTCTTACTGAGAAATATAGAATTGGGTATCAGTCTTACTGAGAAATATAGAATTGGGTATCAGTCTTACTGAGAAATATAGAATTGGGTATCAGTCTTACTGAGAAATATAGATTTGGTTATCAGTCTTATTGAGAAATATAGAATTGGATATCAGTCTTACTGAGAAATATAGAATTGGGTATCAGTCTTACTGAGAAATATAGATTTGGGTATCAGTCTTACTGAGAAATATAGATTTGGGTATCAGTCTTACTAAGAAATATAGATTTGGGTATCAGTCTTACTGAGAAATATAGAATTGGGTATCAGTCTTACTGAGAAATATAGATTTGGGTATCAGTCTTACTGAGAAATATAGATTTGGGTATCAGTCTTACTGAGAAATATAGAATTGGGTATCAGTCTTACTGAGAAATATAGAATTGGGTATCAGTCTTATTGAGAAATATAGATTAGGGTATCAGTCTTATTGAGAAATATAGAATTGGGTATCAGTCTTACTGAGAAATATAGAATTGGGTATCAGTCTTATTGAGAAATATAGATTTGGTTATCAGTCTTATTGAGAAATATAGAATTGGGTATCAGTCTTACTGAGAAATATAGATTTGGTTATCAGTCTTATTGAGAAATATAGAATTGGGTATCAGTCTTACTGAGAAATATAGATTTGGGTATCAGTCTTACTGAGAAATATAGATTTGGGTATCAGTCTTACTGAGAAATATAGAATTGGGTATCAGTCTTACTGAGAAATATAGATTAGGGTATCAGTCTTAACGAGAAATATAGATTTGGGTATCAGTCTTACTGAGAAATATAGATAAGGGTATCAGTCTTACTGGGATATTTAGGGTTGAATATCAGTCTTACTGGGATATTTAGGGTTGGATATCAGTGTTGCTGGGATATTTAGGGTTGGGGATGGGTCTTACTGGGATATTTAGGGTTGAATATCGGTCTTACTGGGATATTTAGGGTTGGGTATCAGTGTTACTGGGATATTTAGGGTTGGGTATCAGTCTTACTGGGATATTTAGGGTTGGGTATTGGTCTTACTGGGATATTTAGGGTTGGGTATCAGTCTTACTGGGATATTTAGGGTTGGGTATCAGTCTTACTGGGATATTTAGGGTTGGGTATCAGTCTTACTGGGATATTTAAGGTTGGGTATTGGTCTTACTGGGATATTTAAGGTTGGGTATTGGTCTTACTGGGAAATTTATCGTTGGATATTGGTCTTGCTGGGATATTTAGGGTTGGGTATCAGTGTTACTGGGATATTTAGGGTTGGGTATCAGTGTTACTGAGATATTTAGAGTTGGATATTAGTCTTACTGAGATATTTAGGGTTAGGTATCAGTGTTGCTGGGATATTTAGGGTTGGGTATCAGTGTTACTGGGATATTTAGGGTTAGGTATCAGTGTTGCTGGGATATTTAGGGTTGAATATCAGTCTTACTGAGATATTTAGGGTTGGGTATCAGTGTTACTGGGATATTTAGGGTTGGGTATTGGTCTTACTGGGATATTGAGGGTTGAATATAAGTCTTACTGGGATATTTAGGTTTGGATATTGGACTTACTGGGATATTTAGGGTTGAATATCAGTCTTACTGAGATATTTGGGGTTGGGTGTTGGTCTTACTGGGATATTTAGGGTTGAATATCAGTCTTACTGGGATATTTAGGGTTGGATATCAGTCTTACTGGGATATTTAGGGTTGGGTATCGGTCTTACTTGGAAGCAGGAAGTGGCAAACAAGTCTATAGTATGTAACAAATCATCAACACTAGCAATTACAATGACATCAGTCAATGTTAGAAATTTGCTAAATTCTCAGAAAGTTTCCTAAGTGTTGTAAATGAGGTATATAGAGAGGAATTAATGGGTGTACAAACCAGTCTGATTTTAACTAAACCACTTGTCAAATTAAGGGAAAAAATCCATTTTAGTGGATTTTAAGAGGATGATTAAACTGAATTCACTTACATATATGTGTACAAACCTTCAAATTCACAATTGTTTTTTTAACATAATGAAATCGGGATCTAATTAGCCAATTTTCTGTTGGGAGGGAATACTCTGTACACCACTGTTAATCAAGACTGGACAATATTTTAAATTATTGAACCTTTGGTCATAAGGAAATGATCCTCTATATATCAAATTCTACCATTTACTGTCTTTTAATCAAGATCCCATCTGCATTCTCTGATAAGGTTTGATAGTGTTGTCATTTGTCAGATTGAAGGTTTGATAGTGTTGTCATTTGTCAGATTGAAGGTTTGATAGTGTTGTCATTTGTCAGATTGAAGGTTTGATAGTGTTGTCATTTGTCAGATTGAAGGTTTGATAGTGTTGTCATTTGTCAGATTGAAGGTTTGATAGTGTTGTCATTTGTCAGATTGAAGGTTTGATAGTGTTGTCATTTGTCAGATTGAAGGTTTGATAGTGTTGTCATTTGTCAGATTGAAGGTTTGATAGTGTTGTCATTTGTCAGATTGAAGGTTTGATAGTGTTGTCATTTGTCAGATTGAAGGTTTGATAGTGTTGTCATTTGTCAGATTGAAGGTTTGATAGTGTTGTCATTTGTCAGATTGAAGGTTTGATAGTGTTGTCATTTGTCAGATTGAAGGTTTGATAGTGTTGTCATTTGTCAGATTGAAGGTTTGATAGTGTTGTCATTTGTCAGATTGAAGGTTTGATAGTGTTGTCATTTGTCAGATTGAATTAGACAATATTGTGATTTGTCACATGAAAATCATTACAAATGCTTTTATCAAGAACACTTCAGTGCATGACAATAAATGTTTCCTTGGTTGGAGTAAGTGGATTTATATGTTTAAAGATTTAAGGAAATTTTACAGAGTGTAAGAGTTACCTCCCTTCTAATGATGTTACCACTTGTTCCTGTTAGGACTTTGTGATAGTTGCTTGGAGAAATATTCATTCATTACAGTGCTTTCAATTTTTAGGGTTTTGTATTGATTTAGTGAGATAGAAACACAGGGTTTTGTATTGATTTGGTGAGATAGAAACACAGGGTTTTGTATTGATTTAGTGAGATAGAAACACAGGGTTTTATATTGATTTGGTGAGATAGACAAACAGGGTTTTGTATTGATTTAGTGAGATAGACAAACAGGGTTTTGTATTGATTTAGTGAGATAGACAAACAGAGTTTTGTATTGATTTAGTGAGATAGACAAACAGGGTTTTGTATTGATTTAGTGAGATAGACAAACAGGGTTTTGTATTGATTTAGTGAGATAGACAAACAGGGTTTTGTATTGATTTAGTGAGATAGACAAACAGGGTTTTGTATTGATTTAGTGAGATAGACAAACAGGGTTTTGTATTGATTTAGTGAGATAGACAAACAGAGTTTTGTATTGATTTAGTGAGATAGACAAACAGGGTTTTGTATTGATTTAGTGAGATAGACAAACAGGGTTTTGTATTGATTTGGTGAGATAGAAACACAGGGTTTTGTATTGATTTGGTGAGATAGAAACACAGGGTTTTGTATTGATTTAGTGAGATAGAAACACAGGGTTTTGTATTGATTTAGTGAGATAGAAACACAGGGTTTTGTATTGATTTAGTGAGATAGAAACACAGGGTTTTGTATTGATTTAGTGAGATAGAAACACAGGGTTTTGTATTGATTTAGTGAGATAGAAACACAGGGTTTTGTATTGATTTGGTGAGATAGAAAACCTGGGTTTTGTATTGATTTGGTGAGATAGAAACACAGGGTTTTGTATTGATTTAGTGAGATAGAAACACAGGGTTTTGTATTGATTTAGTGAGATAGAAACACAGGGTTTTGTATTGATTTAGTGAGATAGAAACACAGGGTTTTGTATTGATTTAGTGAGATAGAAACACAGGGTTTTGTATTGATTTTGTGAGATAGAAACACAGGGTTTTGTATTGATTTGGTGAGATAGAAACACAGGGTTTTGTATTGATTTAGTGAGATAGAAACACAGGGTTTTGTATTGATTTAGTGAGATAGAAACACAGGGTTTTGTATTGATTTAGTGAGATTTAGTGAGATAGAAACACAGGGTTTTGTATTTAGATTTTTTGTAGATTTAGAGATAGAAAC